GGGAGCCCCGGGCCTCCGTGCGGCTCCCACCTTCCCCGGGCTCCGCACTCGCGGCCCCGCCGCCGCGGACGGTATATTCTAGGGAACACCCCACCGAGCCCTCCCCGCCACCCGCCAGCTGATTGGGCACTCCGGCTCTGTGATGTCATAAAACCCCAACATTTCACACGCACACCCCCGCGTAAAACCTCATAAACCCCGGGGCGGACCGCGCAGCACCGCGCAGCTCCTCTCCCGGGCGTGCCCGCGGCTTCACCGCCCCGGCGCACACAATAGAGGCGGCCTCGGGGTTTTTCCTAAAAAAAAAGAAAAAAAAAAGAAAAAAAAAAGACTATTAAAAATTACGCTGTATTTTCGAGGTGATGGTAGCGCGGGTGCCTCCGCTTTGTTTCCGCGTTTTAGCTTTTTTTTTCTCCCCTTTTTTTTCACCTAGGGTTGTTTTAAGAGAGGTCGCTGCGCCTTCCCAAATCCATTCCTCTGGGATGGGTGTGTGTACGTATAGATTTAATAAAGCGTGAAAGATATTACTCTAAGCGAGTTGTTCGAAACGATTGACTCCGCAACAATTCATCCTTCAGCCCGGAGTGGAATGCTTATTAATTGCCAATTACTGTATTTATTATCTGGAATGAGCATGGGCTGGAACGCGGTATCGACAATAACATCGGCAATACGTGCAAATAAAAGCAATGCAAAGATATTTATATTCTTTTTTTTTTTTTTACTCACACACGTTCTTTATTCACTTCGCATCTTTTTCTTCCAAACTCTTTCTTTAGGGAAACAAAAAAAAGAGAGAGAGTAAAGAAAAAAAAAAGAAATTCTTTTGCATGCCTTTGCGCTGCTTAACTTTATTTCAAACTTTAAGTCCCAAGATTTCTTCGGCATTTGTAGCTCGCTCCTGCCTTACAAACCAGGCGATGTTTTCCCAAAAGCAGAGCTGCTTGTGTCTCCAAGGGGGGGGGCGGAATAAAAAGCCCCAACCCCTTACCCGGCCGGGAGCTCCATTGTCCCGTCCCCTCTATTTCTTTATAAACCTGAAGCTACTTGAGCGAAGTGAGTGGAGCCGCGGAGGCTGGAGCGAGGGATTTTAACTCTCTGCTCAGGAGGCTAATTTTGGGGAAACAGTTACCTCGGAAACCTTTCTGGGGGAAGGGAAGCTGCAGCTCTGCAGCACACGCTGTTCGCTTTCAAGCTTCGTCTGTCTCCCACATGAAAATTTGCTTTTAGTCTTCCTCTGCTCTTTTTTTTTTTTTTTTTTTGTGTTTCAAATGGCAAAATCTGAGTAATTTGATAATAATAATTTGTTCAACTATATGTACGATCAACCACAAATGATCCCGATTTAGAAACAATCCCAGAGGAGGAGGAGGAGGAAGCGCATTCCTGAGTATGCGTGTAAAAAAATTTAAAATAACTCCAACATCGCCTTTAATTTGGGAGCGGAGATCACCTGATTTGCATTTACCTTCTCGCCGGCTGACGGGAGAGGAGCCTCCCGATGCCAGGCTCGGTTCTGCCGGGGGAGGAATCGCTGCCAGGGGGTTCCCCTTCCACAGCACCCATGGGTGCCCACCCACCCCCAAACGCTTGGCCTTGCCGCGGGCAGAAAATTCCCCCCCC